CTTGCGATCGATCGGTTTATTGCAGGAGGTGAGGAGCTGAGGCCTAACACAGGTTTGTGCGGCTCCAGGGCCACCACACTAGCCTGCCCTTTGGTCCTTCCTGTCCCCACGGAGGCCCCTACGAATCTCCTCCCCTCAGGGCGTCCCCTCCTGCAGCCCCCATTTCGTGTGCCTCCACCCCTCCACCTTCCCCTGCGTGCCACCCCCCAGTACAAGTGACCGGCCTTGTGCAAGTGCCCGTGGTTTAGAACAGAAGCATCTTCAAAATTCATCATCTGAGAGCGAATACTTGGGTCGAGAGCCGGCTGGGTCCCCTGCAGCGTGCATCCTTAGCCACTTGTGAACCCGCGTCTGGAGTGTGACCGGGGAGGGCTCTGCTCGTCCATGTCACCCAGCACTTGGAGCATGTACGTGCCGATGTAGATGAGCAACTGTCCGGTCACCTGGGCGGCGTGGGACAGGACCCGCAGCAGGCTCCTGCGACAAAGGGGACAGGGCACAGGTCAGGCTTGGAGCTCTGGGCCAGCGAGGGGCAGACAGTGCGGGCATCCTTCACCTCCCCCCAAACATCTGCTCAGAGCAGGCACCGCTCACTGAAGGAGCCACCCCCCAGCCCGCCAGGGCCTGCTACAGCGCACATGCTGATGCACGAGGCCGAAGACCACCTTCCTTGTAGCCGCTTCCAAACGTGGCCTGTTGTTCAGGAGCTAGGAAGCCCTGAGTAGGCTGACGGTGCTCTTGAGAGCACACAGTGAGTCCTGTCCTCTGGCCACCGTGGGTGTTGGGGCTTGTTACTAAAATCAGGCAAGTCAGGTGTGAAAGGAGAAGCTGAAGGAGACTGGTCCTGTGACCCAGTTTGCTTAGGGTGGCCGGGACATCCCATCTCGGCCCTGTTGTGGCCTCTACGCCTCAGGGCTGAGGCTGGCATTCCTGTTATTTCAGACTAAAAAAGTGGCTTTGACTCGAATTCTTACTCTCTACCCAGTCCAGAGTTAAAGGATTCCGTTCCAGTTTTAAAGACCTGTCATGTCACAAGGCCTGGGGGTCAGCTGTGCTGGTCGGGAGAGCCCCCTGGCCCTGGGATCCCACACAGGACCCTGGTGTGAGGCCTTTGATGTGGGGACTTTGGTGACTTCTGTGGCTGCTTGTGGTGCCACCAGATGTCAGATGGTAAGAATTAGTGACAAGAAGGCCGAATTTGCCTCTTAAAGATTTTGTTGAGGTGGGATTTTAGGTGAGGTTTACTTTCTTCATTATACTTTTCCAAGTTGTTAGAACTCTCCTGTCTCATTTTAGAAAACCAATCAATCAAGCTATTTTCTCCCATCTCAGCTAAAAGAGGAAGCTCCCCCGGGGGGTCAGGTGTTGAGATTTCAACACGGGCACAGTGACAATTGTCTATGAGTTGGCCATTAATGGTTCTGAGAGGGAAATGGAAGCCATTGAGAAGCCACTGCCTGAGCTCCCTCTGTGCCAGGGCCTGGGGCCCCATCAGAGGAGGCCAGTCTCATTTCCAAAGCATTTCCTTCCAAAGCTGCTGTCAGCCGCTGCAACCTTTTTAGACCTTCTGTCTCTCCCCCCTCCATCCACCCCTCCACAGGAAATGGTTATTTAGAGGATCAATACGAATTTACTAGAGGACAGAAGTAGGTGTGTTTAGAGCCTATGCAGTCAAAGCACTTAGGAGCAACCTTCTCTTTTAACCGACTGAGCCACCCAGGCGCCCTCAACCTTCTCTTTTAAAAGATGATGAAACCAAGTCTCAGAGACATTAAGCAACCTGTTGAAGGTCACACAGCTGGCTGCTCAGAGGCAAAGCTGGGTGGGACCATGGATGTCCCTCTCAGTCCAGGCCTCAGGGCAGGTGTCCAGCCTGGTTACAACCACAGAGTATTCCTGGTGAACATACAGAATTTGTTCAGAAAGGTGCGGGTATGGATTGGGGATCTGTCTTGTACAGGCTCCTGCATCTGCCAGACTGGCCTCAGCCTGTGGGGCGACAGTGCCCTTGCCAGGGCATGTGGGTATGTGGAAAAGGCACAGGCCCATGCCACCTTGCTGCTAGGTTCAAGTTAGCAGTAATACAGAAGATACCAAAGAGCATTCCTCCGGGGTTCGTGGCTACTCTGTGCAAACCGGGTCAGAATCGCCATGGCTCCGTTTTAGCTGCCGTTGCTTAGAATAAAGGTTTTAAAGCGCACAGCCCTAGTTTTTAAAAGAAATTTGGTTCCTTTTCATATTTATTATTTAGTTTTGATTCCATTTAGTATTTAATGGTCCCTGAAGAAAAAAAATGTATATACACCTTGGCTCAAGACTCTCTGTTTTCTGACGTAAGTCTGGGTGTAAGAGGAAAAGTACCGTATGACATCGTGAATTCGTGAACGCCAGCAGCTACCAGGCAGGTCAGGGCCCCCGGGGGGCTGGGCTTGGCAGTGCAAAGCAGCAGGCTGGGGATGGCCCAGGCGCGGTTTCCAGAACCCAGTTGACCCCCATGTCTGTTACCTCAGCAGGGCTTTGACTCCCGTGCACCGGATGTCGTAGGACACCGAATACATCTCATACATGGTGGCCTTCACGTTGAGGCAGCCAATGACATCCTTGGGATTCAGCTTGTACAAGTCGAAGGTGACTCTTGCTATTCCCGATTTCTTTGGCTGCTGGCGGGCTGGGACGTGGTTACCACCCTAGAACCACGGAGGGAGGAAGAGACTTAAGGAGCATCTCCGGCTATGACGTGCAAATTGTGTAATTCTGGGTTTTTGCTAGTTTTGACTCTGTTGGTTTAAAATCTGCTAGTGACTGAGCTGCTAATTACCTAGGGCATGGTTTCAGCCCATCAATGTGCTCATACTGCTATCACGTCCAAACCCATTAGAAAGTATCCTTCCCTAGGCTACTTTCAGTTCAGTGACGTGGGATGAGTGCGGTGTGGCTCCGGGGCTGGACTGTAGGGGTTCAGTAGATGGTTGTGTTTGGTGGACACGGACAGTCTCAGGACTGTAGCACCGTCGGCTTAAAGAGGAGCAGGGAGCACTATTTCCACTTTACAAGAGGCTGCCGGGAAGAAAGTTTCAGAATCAAGTGGCTGAAGAAAGGGGCAGGGTGAGAACTTCGCAGGGCTTCCTGTGTTTTCTAGTCACCACCCTGGATGGAAACAGACCTCCTGGGGACATGGGTTACAATCGCCCCTCTAGGTCCTCCTGAAACATCAGTAGAGCCTTTAGGTCAGGGGAGAAAGCCAGAGACCTCTGTCAATCCCCAGGTTTATAAAGAGCACGGTAGCGTCCTCCCCATAGAAAGCTTTGCAGAGAGCAAGAAGAGAAAGAAGCCATGCCAAGGTACAAATGCCAGCCCAGGGGCGACTCTCCCTACAGGCTTGCTTCACACACAGATCTTGTAGTATTCAAATTTACACAATCAGTACAGTTACTACGTCTCCGGAATCTTTGGGGTTGGGGGCAGTTGAGGCTATAAATGTTAAATTCATCAATGCCAATAATCAACTATATGTGAAGTTAAAACATAAATTCCCCTAAAAGTGTCCAAATGCTTCTTGGTGGAGCCACCCTTCTCTCCTCCCGCACAGACAGGAGATATTGACGGTAAAACCCATTGTTTAACACACAAGAGTTTCTGCTGCCCCTTTAGGGGGTGCTTTCCAGCAGTTAGGAAACATCATTTTTAAATATTAAGATTACAGGGGCGCCTGGGTGGCTCAGTCGGTTGGGCATCCAACTCTTGATTTCAGCTCAGGTCATGATCCCAGGGCCGTGGGATCGAGCCCCTGCATCAGGCTCTGCATTGAGTGTGGAACCTGCTTAAGATTCTCTCTCTCCCTTTGCCCCTCCTCTGCTCATGCACTGGCTCTCTCTCTGATAAAAAATAATAATAAAAGTAAAAACTAAGATTACAGAATAAAAAGGGGGAATTTTACCTGTAATCCTCCCACTGTTCTTTCTCACCGCCTTGTACTCCTTTCTGACATATGGAAGCTTTTATCTTATTCCCCCTAAATGTCTTCCTTAAGTCTGGTCTTAAATCAAAACCCAGCCCTCACAAAGCTAATCTGCTGGTGACCTGGATTTCTCTAACTCGCTGGCTCAAGAAGAAGAAATGATTGCCCCCCTGCCTCACCCTGAAAGGGCTCCAGGGTGCTGCTTCCTCACAGGCCTCAGAGGCACTCAGACTGGAGATGCAGGGGGTCCTCTGGTGACTAGTTCTTGGCTGGATGTTCTCATCCGAGTCAAACAAAATTGGCCTCAAACTTAGTGGTTTGAAATAACAGAGACTTAGACCCTTACATTCTGGAGGTTGGCAGTTCACAACGAGCCGCCAAGTATGGTTCCTTCTGGAGGCTGCCGGGAACACATGGCCCCCTCACCTTCTCCAGCTTCTGGAGGAGCCCTCATTCCTCAGCTTCTCACCTCTCCCCTCCTCTTTCTCTGCTTCTGGACTTCACTCTGACCCTCCTCTCCCTCTGTGAAGACCCCAGGATGATACTGGTCCCTGGGTTATCTGGGACCGTCTCCCTGGCTCAAGATCCTTAATTTAATCATACCTGCTAGGTCCATTTGCTAAGTAACACCTCCCTGGACTCCAGGGATCAGGATGTGGACCTCTTTGGGGGCTATTATACTGCCCAAAACATATTTCTCAAACAAAAAGTAGTCCAGCTCAAGATTGCCTTTTAAAAGATTTGTCTGATGGAGCCTGGGTGGCTCGGTTGGTTGAGCAACTTGACTCTCGATTTCAGCTCAGGTCACGATCTCACGGTCATGAGATTGAGCCCTGCATCAGGCTCCTCACTGAACACAGATCTTACTTAAGATTCAATCTCTTTCCTTCTGCCCTTCCCCCACTCTTGCGTGCTCTCTCTCAAAAAAAAAAAAAAAGCTAAAATTAAAGTAAGTAAGTAAATAAATAAATAAATAAATAAATAAATAAATAAATAATTGATTTGTCTAATTCACCGCATGCTCTTCTAATCTACTGGCATGATCTCCTCACCTGCTTCAGAGATACTATGTTTTAAATTTTATGTTTTTTATAATTGGTCTGTAGTCTTTTTTCCAGTTGGACAAATGATGAAATATTTGATATGGATATTAGTACACATACTGATCTGTATGTATCATGGGTAGATGATGGGTATACTCACCACTCCAGATAAAATGTTGGCAACCTGTTATCACCCATAAGCCTCTCCCCAGTTATATTCTTCCACCTCCCCTCAAGAGGAGACCATCTAAGCTGTGAATCACTCCCTTTTATTTTTAGCACACACACGAGTCTCAAACATCATATTGCTAATTTTGTACATTTTCGGATTATCTATAATCGGTTAAATGTGGAGATTCCCAAAATGTACGTTGGAGACACCTGAGGTCCAGAGACCCTTTCAGGGGGCTGAGAGATCAAAACTATTTTCATAAAAAACACCAAGGTGAAATTTGCCTTTTTTGTTCTCTTTCTCTCATGAGTGGAGGAATTTTCTACTACCCAGCTGAGAAACCTGCGTCACTCAATGAAATCAACATTTTCTTTTTTTTTTTTTTT